CTCCGGGCATGGAACAGCGGCTACAGGAAGTGAGGGAGAGCATCCGGAGGGCACAGGTGAGGCAGCAGCCTGGGGTTGGAGCCACTGAGATCCTATACGCTCAGGTTGCCTTCCCTCCTTTATCTGACCAGGGTAGCGGGGGTGGACACACTTGGCCAGGTTCCACTGACGCCCCTCCTCTCTATGCCAGGTGAGCCAGGTGAAGGGGGCTGCCCGGCTGGCCCTGCTGCAGGGAGCTGGCTTGGACGTGCAGCGCTGGCTGAAGCCAGCCATGACCCAGGCCCAGGAAGAGGTGGAGCAGGAACGACGGCTTAGTGAGGCTCGGCTGTCCCAGAGGGACTTGTCCCCAACGGTGAGCTACTTGCCCACTCTACCCTTTACATTCAGGAGGGTAAAACTCCCCAGTGGAAGTCAGGCCCTAGAAAATGGGAGTTGTAGGGTGGGTGCTCGTCACAGTGATTAAGACAGTGCTTGGAATGGCTGTATCTCATAGTAGAGTGCCTGGGTTTGAATTCGGGCTCTGCTTCTGATCCAGCTTCCTGCTAATTCACACCCTGGGAAGCAGCAGGTGATGGTTCAAGTGCTTGGATCCCTGCCACCCACATGGGAGACTTTTATTGAGTTTCAGTTCCTGGATTCGGCCTGGCTGGATCCCAGCTGTTGTGGGCATTTGGAGAGTGAACCAGTAGATGGGAGGTCTCTGTGTCTAAGAAAATAGTAATACAATGGGAACCACAGTAGTACCTAATTCAAAGGGTTGTTGTGAGGCTTTAGTGAAATCATTCATGCATAATTCATTGCACAGTTTCTGGCACTAGAGGGCCCTCCATGAACTTCTGCTATGAGTGTAGTATGGATGTTAAGAACTAAGGTCCTGGGAGTGTTGCCATTGTACTTACTAGCTGTGTGACTTTGGCAAGTGACTTAAACCATCAGAGCCTCAATTTTCTTAACAACAAAATGAGGTAGTAGATGTGCAAAATGTCACTGAATTACCACGAAGATTAAATGAGCAGACCAAAGATCCTCAGCACTGTGCCCAGCGCGCAGTAAGTGCCCAGGTACTAGGGCTCTGCTGTTAGTGTGAGCATTGTCCTGCTCTGCAGGGGTTTGGGTTGTGACACACGTGGCGACTGCATGGGCGGTGCCACCCTGGAGGTGCAACCATGGTGTCTTCTAGGCATGGGATGGAGGAGCCGGGGATCTATCCCATCCTTGAGGGGGGACTCAGGGATGACCATGATGTCTGATTTCTGCTCCTCTGCAGGCTGAGGACGCTGAGCTTTCCGACTTTGATGAATGCGAGGAGACGGGGGAGCTCTTTGAGGAGCCTGCCCCGCCAGCCCTGGCCACCAGGCCCCTCCCCTGCCCTGCACACGTGGTGTTTGGCTATCAGGTGTGAATGGGGGTGGGGCTCTCAGCCAGGTAAGGGCTGGGACAGGCAAATCCTGACTCCTTGCTTGTGGGGCCCAGGCAGGGCGTGAGGATGAGCTGACCATCACGGAGGGTGAGTGGCTGGAGGTCATAGAGGAGGGAGATGCTGACGAATGGGTCAAGGTGAGTATGGGACCCTAGGTTCTGAGCCGGGATGGAGGGCAGTGGGAGGGACTTCTTGGTGGCCCCCGAAGACCCAGCCAGGCCAAGCTAGAGGCCTAAGTGGAGCAGAGCTGGGGCCATGGCCTGCTGAGGTCAGTCTGCTGTCTGTTCCATTGCTGGTGAGCAGGCTCGGAACCAGCACGGCCAGGTAGGCTTTGTCCCCGAGCGGTATCTCAACTTCCCGGACCTCTCCCTTCCTGAGAGCGGCTGTGACAGCGACAATCCCTCGGGGGCAGAGCCCACCGGTAAGAAAGGGGAATTTGGGGTCGGGATGTGAGTTTGGAGAAGAGTTACTGGGGGACGCTGGCCCTGGGTGTCACATCCTGGGCACCACCACCTGCTCTCTCTCACCATCTCTCTTTCACTTCCACAGCATTTCTGGCCTGTGCCCTGTACAGCTACACTGGACAGAGCGCAGAGGAGCTGAGCTTCCCCGAAGGGGCCCTCATCCGCCTGCTGCCCCGGGCCCAGGATGGAGTGGACGATGGTTTCTGGAGGGGAGAATTTGGAGGCCGTGTGGGGGTCTTTCCCTCTCTGCTGGTGGAGGAGCTGCTTGGCCCTCCAGGGTCAACTGAACTCTCCGAGCCTGAGCAGGTGAGGCTCTGCTCTCCCTGGATTCCCAGGCTTCTCAGGTTGACCCTCCCTCTACAGTAAGGCCCTGTTTTCATCTTGATGCCCCCCTCCTCCCCAGGTTTACATCCTGTAGTAGCTTGGGCCTCCCCATTTCCTTTGGCTGAGCAGAGAACAGGAAACCCAGATGGCCATAGGAGTTTGGAGGTCCTATTTTAGTTCTGGATAGATCTGAGTTCAAGTTTCTATTGCATTCCCTTGGGTAAGGATTTGAGCTGTTTGAGCTGCTTCCTCTGTGTGTAAAATGAGGAATAGATACATCTTTCCATAGGCTCACTACCATGATTACAGCAGACAGAGGTAAGGCCCTTAGCCTGGTAGCACACGGGAGGTGCCTTCAGGTATGATGCTGTTGTTATTATAGTAAAGGAGGAAGAGAATAGGAGTGGGATTCGGGGGACCAGGCTCTAGCCAGTGCTCTAGCACTATTGGGCTCTGTGATCTCAGACAGATGGCTTACCCTCAGTGTCACTTTTAACATAGGTGTTGTAAAAACGCCTGCCGCATGGAGTGGCGGTGAGGACTGTGTGCTTTAGTGCAAGGGAAGAGCTAGCAGAACACCTGAGACAGTAAGTGTTCAGTACCTCTGAGTAGTTGCAATGTGTATCCCTACCTGAAAACAAACATCTGGCCACTTCCTGTTTCGGGCAGTGATGAGACAGGCATTGAAGGTGGTATGAGAGGAAAGCTGGTGAAGCCTTCCCACGTGCCAGGCGTAACTCTCTGCCCACTCCCACCCTGCCAGACGCTGCCATCCCCTTCACCTCCTAGTTTCTCCCCTCCTGCACCTGCCTCGGCCTTGGACGGCCCCACCGCACCTGTCCTGCCTAGAGGTGAGTGGACTTGGGGGCCCTGGGAAGGTAAGAGATAGGGAAGGGAAAGGAGTCTCGGCCTCCTAGGCCATGCTGTGCCCTGTGTGTGCTGTCAGGCACCTGGCAGTGAGGGCCACTGCAGCTGGAGGGGAGAGGCACTTGGCCTTCAGAGCCTGGCTGACTCATTCAGGCCTTACTCTGTCACTTCCTACTCTGTCACTTCAGGTGGGTGTTTGACCTATCTGGGTCTTGGTTTATGCCTTTTATTAAGTGAGGAGAGAGGTACCACCTCGTGGAATTGTGAGAGCTTACGACGACGTGTGTAGGGGTCACAGCATCGTGCCTGGCATGGAGTGAGCATGCAGATAGCAGCTGTTTCTTCGTGGTTATTATTTTAAAAATCTGACCAGCTTCTTTCACTCTGCACTCCCAGGAGGCACCCTTTGCTCTTTGTGTCCTTAAGCCCTACGAATACCTAGCTTTGGGTCATCATTTTCCCTCCTGGAATGTCCACCTTTTCTTTTCTTTCTCTCTCTTTCTTTCTTTCTTTTTTTTTGACAGGCAGAGTTAGACAGTGAGAGACAGAGAGAAAGGTCTTCCTTTCCATTGGTTCACCCCTCAAATGGCCGCTACGGCCGGTGTGCTGCGGCTGGCGCGCTGCACCAATCCGAAGCCAGGGGCCAGGTGCTTCTCCTGGTCTCCCATGCGGGTGCAGGGCCCAAGCACTTGGGCCATCCTCCACTGCCCTCCCGGGCCACAGCAGAGAGCTGGACTGTAAGAGGAGCAACTGGGACAGAATCCAGCGCCCCAACCGGGACTAGAACCCTGGGTGCTGGTGCTGTAGGCAGAGGATTAGCCTATTGAGCCACAGCGCCAGCCTCCACCTTTTCTTAAATCCTTCTTGCATGTCCACCTTCTCCAGTCTCCGTCCCTGACCCATCAGGGGTCGCCACCATCTCCAGTACTCCTAGGTCACTTTGAAGGACTCAGCTCTTAGTCACTCACTGTGTTAGTTCTTGATAGCCATTGGGTTGGGGGCGCTGTCTATCCCACCTCCCTTTCTTTGGTACCTCCATCAGAGCTGATTATACAGCTGCTGCCCAATGATTGTTGAAGATGGATGCGTGGATGAATGGATGAATTTTATGGCTCAGACTCGTGACTGTCGGTTCATCAAATATTTATCCTGTGCCACTGTTCTGAGTGCTGAACATACAGCACTGAACAAAACAAAAGTCTGAAGACTGACTTGTCGTTCTTGTTTCCACACAAAGCCCTGGACTGCCCTGGACCCCTGGACATGACGGCACCTCGACTCAGGCCGGTGAGGGTCCTTGCCTTGGAGGAGGCTGTGTGTGGAGTGGTCATTGCGGCTGGTCCTGTTTTGTCTGCAGGGCCGAGGGGATGGGCAGGGATAGCCCCAAGGGCGGACTCTGGAGCATTATCTGTGTTTCCTACAGATGCGTCCACCGCCTCCCCCGCCGGCTAAAGCCCCAGATCCTGGCCACCCAGATCCCCTCACCTGAAGGCCCGGGGAGTCACTGCCCACAGTGACGCCATTGCCCCGTCTCCATGCTGTCAGAGACCACCCCCTCGATGATCCGGAACAACACAGCCCAAAGCTGGAATCTCCCCCACGTCTACTCTCACCTGTAGGGGTAGAAACTTCCCCTTTCCCCATTTGGGGGCAGAACCCCCAGTTTCCCCTCTTGTCCTCCCGACATCGCTCAGGCTGGAGCTACTCCTTTCTCTTCTTCCGCCACCTGTCTTAGGTGGTGAACTAGCCTGGGATCTCTGAGGCTGGAGCCCATGCCCCAAGGTCCGGAGTGACTGTGGCCCTTCTCTTTCCACCCTGGCTCCATGAGCCACCCCATCCTGGCTACCGGAGATGCTGGGGTGGGGCTGGGAGGGGAGCAGGCCTTGGGAATCAGAAGGAGCTGGAGCCAGTATGCAAAGCAGCTGTGATGGTCTGAGCGGATTTATTGACAGTGAATAAAGGGCACGAAGGCCAAGGCAGGACCTGAGCCTGTTGTGCCAAGAGGGCAAGGGACCTACGGTGCTATTGCTTTAGGGGCCCACCAAGGGCAGGGGCCCGCTCCCAGCTGCCACGCTCTAGCATGTGGAGCGAGGTGTTGGGCAAGGAGGGCCAGGCGGCCTGTTGGCCAGGGAAGGGGAAGGAGACCGAGGGGCTGGGGATGGGTGAGACTTCTCCTGAGGTCCCCCAGCCTGACGCTGTGCCATTCCAGGTGGAAGCAGAGCTCGTCCTTCAGCTCGGGGGCAGTGCTGTCCAGTGGAGGGGAGGGCCTTCACGCCCGCCTGCCCCCGGCCCTGCCAGCTGGTGGTCTGTCAGAGTGATGAAAAATGGGGCTTGGGGGAGAGAGAAAGGGTAACAGTGCTGCTCCTGTTTGGTCTGGGTCCCAGCTTATCCCCAGGAGCTTCAGGACCTTCCCTGTTCCCTGGAGCATGTGCCCACTCCCACCTCCAAAGCAAGGGATGTGTGGTAGAGGCTAAGCGTGCCAGTCACCCTGACGGTTCAGGGGACTGAGGGGCCTGAATGTTTTAATTGGGGTAGGACAATGCCATTACCTGATCTGGGGCTCAGGCAGACTCGCGTCACACACCCCCTGTTCCACGTGGCAGAGACACCTGAGCCAAGAGGAGGGGTCACTTCAGTGCCCCCCAGGAAAGGAGGCGATCAGAGCTGAGCCTGCTGCTGCCTTGGCCATGTGTTCATACCTGGTAATCTGAGGTGTCTGGCTTGCTTGGCTGTCCATTTGCCTCTTGCCTGGGCAGTCCTGGGCTTGGTCCCCTCCCTCTGGCCCCTAGTGTCAGCTCTGCAGAGGCTCCAGGGTTCCCCTCCAGTGTACAAGGGACTCGGTTGCTGTCCCTAAGTCCTCCATTCTGCACTGGGGGACTGGCTAGGGCCTGCGGCTGTGGTGCCTCGGCGGGCAGCCTCTCTGTGGCAGGCATCCCTGCCCTGGGCTGCCCTCCTCCAGACCCCTGGCCACCTCCTGGGTCCTGCCCCCCACCAGAGCCCCAGCTTCTGTCTGTAGGGGAGCCATCGCGATGCTCATGTGACCCATAGCGCTTCTCAATGTGTGTCACCCGGAACCTAGAGGTGGGGAGACAGAAGAGGAGCTCAGTGCCACAACCCCGAGTGCTGGGCCCTCCCCTCTGACTGGGGACATCTGGGTTTCATGGCCACTTCCCTCTGGCCTAGGGCAGAGCAGGCCTTGTCGGATGGTGGGCCTGAGTCCTGCCGGAGCTCCCAGTCCTGGAGGAAAGAGCTGGGGCCCACCTTTGGGGTCTGGTGTCTGATCATCGGGGCCCCACCTCAGGCCCTGTTTCCCGGGGCGCTCTAGCCCTACCTGCCCACAGAGAACACGGTGGTCTCCCCAGGCCGGGGCCGGCTTTTCCCTTCCTTGGAGCGTCCCTGCCGGACAAGCGGGGGCCTCTTGTTGCGGCTGCAGTGGATGCAAGGGGCCGCAGAGCCCAGGTGCACTGTGTGATGATGGGAAGGGGCTCCGTCTTGCAGGCTGGAAGTGGCGTCCACACTGGACAGTAGGGAAGAGCAGAGCAGGAATGTTGTCTCCGTTTCCCTGTCTATCCCATTTCCTACTGTCTTCAGCACATCCCCGAGGCCCCTAGAACCCAACGTGTTCCTTGTCTGTATCTAATAAACTCGATATGGACATGTGAGTGGCTTTGTGTTTTTCCTCCCAGGGCTGTTCACTGAAAAAGAGGACAGAGCTTAACTCAAAAGATTAGCACTAGAGATGAATCTTGGGCTCGGCACCCTCTAGATGGGAGATATGGTTTGATGGACTTGGATTCCTATGAAACTTCACACTGTACGTTAGCCAGCCTCGCCCTTCCCCCCACCCCACGCACAGACATGCAGGACACTGAGGGGCTGTGCTGGCATGGACGGTGCTCCCCAAGGCAAGCTAAGTCACGGTGGCCCTTGTTCTCAGCTCACCTGGAGAGCTGCACTGTCCCTTCTCCCTCACTGTCCCCCAGCATCTCCTTCAGGGCCTCAGCGTTGGCTGAGGGGAGAAGGAAGAGAGGGATTCGGTGGAGGTGGAGGTCGGTGCAGGAGAAAGCTGGAGGGCGGGGGCAAGGGGCCCCCTTACTCACCTTCATTTTGGATGATGCAGCGAACAATCCTCTCTACCGTGTCCTCATTCACGTCATCATCCTCAGCTGAAGGGTGAAAGAGGTTGGCAAGGAAGTGGGAAATGAGTCAGCTGGGTGGGGGGGGGCGACCCGGTGGCCCTGTGGCTTACTGCTGAAGACATACCCCTTCTGCTGTTTGCCATTGTGCTAGATTTTAGCATCTCAGGGGCCAGGGAAGATGGGGAAGTTGATGGGAGCGGGACCCTACTAACAGTGGACCCCTCTCGCCCGGGTAGCCTCCTCTCGCCTTGCTTTTCAGGGTGGTGACCCTCACTTGCTGGCTCAAGAATGGATCCCTAGGCATTGTGTAGACTTGGTCAGGTTTTGGCCTGGATCTGTTGGCCGGGGAGGCAGAAACAGGGGTGAGGAGAGGGCTAGGGGAGAAGGGTGACTGAGCCGGGGCTCCAGGCTCCTCACTGCTCACTCACGGGGCTGGAGCTGGGCGTCGTCTGGCTCGGAGCCCCTGGACGTGCGGCAGCGATAGCCCTTCTTCTTGAGCACGTGGCAGATCATGAAGCCCACAAGGCCCATGAGAAAGAAAACCAGCACAAGCAGGAAGAGCATGTACAGCCCATGTTGGGGCGGCTCCAGGTCAGGCTGTGGTTCCGACATGAGGCCCTGGGGGGCGAGCGCGGGCCAGGGCGCCTCCTGGGTTTAGGGGGCTGCCGCTGGAGAGTGGGGAGAGGTAGGCATGCCATTTTCAGGATCCGAAACAGGCATGCCCCAGCGGACCCTCCGGTCCCACCACCCGGCTACCCAACCAGGGAGCTGTCCCGGCCAGCAGTGCTGGTCTGCCAAGACCGCCCGTGGCAGGAGGCCCGACGGCGGCTGGGCAAGCCCTCTTCCACGACCCTGGTCCCAGACCGTTCCCCTTCCCAGCTCGTCCCGCGCTCCCGTCCCTGCCAAGGACACTGCAGCGCCAGACGGGACAGCATTCTCCAGGCGGCGGGCGCTCGGATCGCGCCTGAGTCAGCGTCCGCACCTCCCTCCGCGCCGGCCTGAGCCAGGCCTCTGCAGCCCCCTCCCCTCCCTGTACTCCCGGACCCCTCCCTTCCCTTCTCGGTTCCTCCCACCCTGGCCACCTGGCCCACCCGGTACCGGTGGTTTGGTTCTGGTTCCGACTCCGGCTCGGGTTCCGGCTCCAGGGGCGTTCTAGTCCGGCTCAAGGCCCCCGACGCCCTCCCGGCGCTCATCCCTTGGTTCCTCCCCCTCCCCCCTTCGCCGCCTCACCGGCTCCCGGCTGTGGCTGCGGATACCGGGGCCGCGGCAGGCGGGGGGAGGGAAGGATGGCGCGGGCTGCGGGCTGCTTGGCCGCGGCGGCAGGCTCTGGACAACTCCGGCCCTGGGGAAGCGAGACGATGGGGGAGCCCCCCGCAGCCGCCCTGGGTTCCCAAATGCAGTTCCCCGTTGCCGGCCCGGGATCAAGGGGCGGAGCGCAGGTGTGCGGGGCTCAGAGCGTGAGCTCGGCGCGCGTGTGAGCGCAAGTGGGATGCGCGCGTGACTGCGCTGGGCCCCCCCGGGGGGAATGTGCGGCGCCGAGTCTGGGTCCAGGTAGGGGACAGGAGGTTCGGCGGGGGTGCTCTTCTCTTGGTCTATCCCGCACGCCTGGCGCAGCTCCTGCCCTCAGATGCCCTGGCTGAGAGGATGGCCGGGTCTTCCCAGGGAGCTGGGGGAAGCTGGCTTTCTGCCCCTGAGAGGGGCGGCGTGCCCGGATCTTCAGCGCTTCCTAGAGCGGTGACTACTGCCTGCCCTGGGTTTGGGACAAGTGGCGGGACGGAATGGCCTGGCTTCCCGAGGATCTGGCCTCCGCCCGCAAGGCAATGTTCCTGGCATCCTAGGACGGATGCTACCCGTCCCCCGCCCAAGCCAGGATGCTAAAGCCCCAGAACCTAATAGGACACAGCCAGGCGAGTGGCCCAACTCCCGCAAGGGGCGTGGCCTGGGCGGGCGGGGCGGGGCGGAGCGGGCCCGCCCCCGTTCCGCAGGGGCAGGCTGCGTGCTTGCGCAGCACGCACGGCGGGGGTGGGGCTGGCGGCGGAGGCGCGGGGCCTGCTCCGGCCGGCACCATGGCCAAGACCGTGGCCTATTTCTACGACCCCGACGTGGGCAACTTCCACTACGGTGAGGAAAAAGTGTTATGAGCGAGGGGTGGGGACGCAGAGGTTTCGAGTTGGGGGCTGCATCTCCAGGGGCGGGAACTGACAGACTCCGTTCTCCCGCACCCCCCAGGGGCTGGGCACCCTATGAAGCCTCATCGCCTGGCATTGACCCATAGCTTGGTCCTGCACTACGGCCTCTATAAGAAGATGATCGTGAGTCTCGCAGCCTCCGGGGATTGGGGGCGAGGGCCAGCTGCGGCTTTAGGGCTAGGTGGGCTGGGCTGACTGCACCAGGGGCAAGCCGCTCCTAGAGTAGTGGGTGGCCGAATGGAAGACCCCAGAGGCACCCCTTTACATGCAGGGTGTCGAGGAGGCTTCCCCTGATTTAATGGGAGTAACTTTTCCACCTCAGGTCCGCCGCCCTTTGCCCTGCAGCAGACCAACCCTTGTCCTAGGATTAGGGTGGTGCGGGCCTGGCTTAAAGGCAGGCTTTTTCCTCCCCCTGCATTATAGGCTGTGGACAGAGCTGTGGCATTGGTTATGGGGGGGCGCTGGATCACTGTTTCTGAGTGTGAGGTTTACCCCACAGTGCCTATCGCTGCTCTTCCATGTCTCTGCCTCCGAGGAGCTAGAGCTCCAGAGAGAACTCTGCACCACGCTGAGTATGAATGTGTGGGTGTGGAAGAGAGCAGATGTCCTGGGAGTTCCCTTTACAACCCAGAATACCTCTACATGCTTCTGCTCAATAACTGCCCAATCTTCTGTCTCCCAGGCTGTGGGTCCCCAGCATGGAATTGATCGCTGTGAATAATATGGGATAGTAAACACTTAAGCCCAACCCTTGCTTGTGAGGGGACTTCGTCAGCAGCATGGATGAATGTCCATTGCTAGTGCTGAGGCACAGACAAGTGGATGGGTCATAGACAAGACGGGGGCGATGTTAGTGCAGGAGCCTGGGGGTCCCTGGAGATTGTGTGCTTGGGTGCACCTGTGCATATCTTTTTCCTTGCCCAGTTTTCAAAGAGGTGTGTGAACTCCAACCCCTAAGATGATAGGTACATGTTTGATTTAGCACCTTCCATTTTAGTTAGCAGGTTGTCATACAGACTGTATATTTGACTCCAGAAACCAGATGAGAGAGACTAGAATCAGGCAGGGGAGGGAGATGAGTATGGAGGGAACCAGGAATAGGAGATCTAGGGAACAGGGCAGGGAGATCAGCGCTCGAGATTAAGAAGGAAGGAGCCGTTGGACTGGAAGTGGGAGGGAGAAGGAGAGGGAGAGGAAGCAACCTTCGGGGTCTTGATCAGCATAACCCACCTGGCTAGTTGGAGCTTTTTTCTTCACTGACCTTTTCTCATAGAATAACAAGGATGGCGGAGTGGGGGCATTGCTGTGTGTGTTGGGACAGTCTCCAGGACTGGGTTCGGTGAGGGGTGGTCTCAGCTCCGTGAGTGAGCCTGGCCCTGCCTGAATTTGTCTTGTGTCTCCATCCCGAGGTCTTCAAGCCGTACCAGGCCTCCCAGCATGACATGTGCCGCTTCCACTCTGAGGACTACATCGACTTCCTTCAGAGAGTCAGCCCCACCAATATGCAAGGCTTCACCAAGAGCCTTAATGCCTTCAACGTGGGCGATGACTGGTGAGTGAAGGCTGGACTTTGGATGTCATCAGGTTCGTTGGTACCAGGCCCTTCGGTGAGGTCTTGGCAGCAGTGGGAAGATAGGAGGGGGGGCTACTTGTCATTGAGTCACTGTTCACTTGTTTATTCAGTAAATATTTAGTGATCATTTGCTCTAGGCCAGGGCGTGTGCTGTGAACACCAACAATATTGTAATATTAATATTAATAATTCCTAAATATCAGTTATGCAAACAGTATTCAGATTTCCTCATTCATCTCATTTTTTTTTTTTTAAGATTTATTTTATTTATTTGAAAGGCAGAGAGAGAGCGAGTGAGCATGGGAGAGTATGAGAGATTTGCGGGTTCATTCTCTAAATGACTGCAACAGCTGGAGCTGGGGCAGGCTAAAGCCAGGAGTCTAGAACTACATTTGGGTCTCTCATGTCGATGCCCAGTATGTGGGCCATCTACCACTGCCTTCCGAGGTGCATCAGCAGGGAGCTGGATTGGAAGTAGAGCAGCCGGGACTTGAACTGGTGCTCCTATGAGATGCCGTGCATCATAGATAGGTGATGGGGTAACCTGCTGCACCACAATGCCAGTCCCTCTTTTTTTTTTTTTTTTTGCAGTAAATTTTTTTTTAAATCACGATCTAAATCAAGTCAGCATTATATTTGGTTGACGTGTCTCTTAAGACTTTCAATCTATGGCTTCCCCCTCTTCTCCGTGAATTTATTTTGATGGAAGACCTCTCTCTCTCTCTCTGCCTTTCCTCTCTCTGTGTAACTCTGACTTTCAAATAAATAAATAAATCTTAAAAAAAAAAAGATTTTCAACCTATGGCTTGCCTTCTCCTTGAATTTATTTCTTGCCCGATGTTTCTTATGATAGCTAGCATTTGTTGAGTGCTTATTCTGCTAAGTATTAACCTGAGGGTTGCTGTGCAGTCTCCTAATTCTTACGTCAATGCTGAGATGTCTTTTCTCTGCTTTGTACATAAGTAAATGGAAATTTGAGAAGATTCGGAAGCTTAACCTGAGTCACACGGCTGGTCAGTGGAGGTGACAGGATTCCGATCCAGAGCCCAGGGTTTTGAGTCATTGTTGTGTTTCCCTGAAAGAGCCTACCGACAGAAGCAGCCGGGGCAGCAGGGCAGAGGCCGACTCCTTAAGCTGGCCTTGAGCACTCTCCTGACCTCCCCACACCTCGCCAGCAAGGAACGTCCTTCCCGAAAGCCCTTGCTTTTTTGCACAGCCTCGCCAGAGCCTTCCTGCCCCTTCCCACCCTTCACAGCACCTCCATGCCAGCCTGCAGGGCCCGGTCCTGCACACACCACGCTGTTCCTGTGAGGTTCGGTCACATGCTCTCTTGGGAGGTGTCTTGTTTTTTGTTGTTGTTCCTGCTGCTATTCTGAGTTCAGTTTTAGGTCTGGGAATGCAGAGTCAGGCTTTGGGCCACAGCTGGGGCCCTGTAGATGCTCTTTGTGCAGTGAGGAAACCTTACCCCTGGACCGTTTGTGCTGCATCAGTCCTGTGGCCAGACTGAAGCTACACTGTGCTTGTTTGTGTTTCTTAGGACAGTCGGGCTTCCCTTTCTTCTCCCTCCAACCTTCTTTTCATATGTTTCTGACTGCTTTCAAAGTGATCTAAAATAAATAGGTAAATTGCACTGTAAGACTTTTAGTTAAAAAAAGAAAGAAAGAAAAAAAGAAAGCAATCCCAGACCTATCTCTCCTACCCAAAAATCTCTCCACAGGGGCAGCCACGTCTAGCTCTTTTTCTTCTGGTGTTTATCTTTGGATTTTAAAATGCTATTAATCTACTCCTACTAACCTGTAATACTTGGGTAATAGCTGCTTGGTGCTAGATATTGGTCTAAATGCTTGACAGTCATTCACTCACCTAATCTCAACAACACCTATGAGGCAGGTTCTGTTCTTCCTTTTACAGATGAGGCCACGGCAGCCCTTCAAAATCCAACAGCTTGCCCAACCCAACAGTTGTCAGTTGGTGTTAAGAAGTCAGAATTTGAACCTAGGTAGCCTGGTTCCAAGAATCTGGGCTTTTCATTAAATTACCTTGCTGTGTTGTCTCTTGCTGCTGTTTCTTCGTTTATGAGTTTTAGGCATTGTCTGTTTAGCTCTTAGTATGGTACATGAACATTAACTCTTCTCGTACCATCATCCTGACTTCCCCGCCCCTCCCCTCCCCTCTAGCTTCTCACAATTTTACTTATATCACAGTTTCTTCATAGATCAGCATTCTATGATTATAGTAACTGGAAAATACATTGACTATCAAGCCAGATAGTGTGAGAGTACCTCAGAAAGCTCATGGAAAAGTGGAATTAAAAGATAAGCTTATTTTTTTCAAAGATTTTAATTATTAATTTGAGAGGTAGAGTCACAGATAGAGGGAGAGACAGAGAAAGGTCTTCCATCCGTTGGTTCATTCCCCAAATGGCTGCAATGGCTGTGCCGATCCAAAGCCAGGAGCCAGGAGCTTCTCCTGGGTCTCCCTCATGGGTACAGGGGCCCAAGCACTTGGGTCATCTTCCACTGCCTTCCCAGGCCACAGCAGAGAGCTGGATCGGAAGAGGAGCAGCTGGGACCAGAACCGGCGCCCATATGGGATGCCGGCGCCGCAGGTGGAGGATTAACCTACTGTGCCATGGTGCCAGCCCCAAGATAAGCTTATTTTGCTATAAACATTTCTGAAATCTGTGCATAGTTTTTCCATAATTCTTATTTTCCATGAGCTTTTTGAATAATCCATGGATTTCAAAAAGTCTTTTTAAAAATATTTATTTATAAGTCAGAATTACAGAGGAAGGATAAGAGACAGAAACACACACAGAGAGAGAATCTTCCTTCTGCTGGTTCACTCCCCAAATGGCCACAAAAGTGGGGGCTGCTTGGGTCGGTGCTGTAGCGCAGTAGGTTAATCCTCTGCCTGCAGTGCCGGCATCCCGTATGGGCACTGGTTCTGTCCTGGTTGCTCCTCTTCCAGTCCAGCTCTCTGCTGTGGCCCAGGAGGGCAGTGGAGGATGACCCAAGTGTTTGGGCCCTGCACCTGCATGGGAGACCAGGAGGAAGCACCTGGCTCCTGGCTTCGGATTGGCGTAGCTCTGGCTGTTTTGGCCATTTGGGGAATGAACCAACACAAGGAAGACCTTTCTCTCTGTCTCTTTTTC